CCATCCTCTTGGTGCCTGGGGCCTGCCAGCTTGGAACCTCTGAATCTGTAGAGCACAGCCTGAAGATTTGTTAATGATCACTTTTCTCAACTTGCCCATTTCTCAGAGAAGGTCACAGAGACCCAGAGAGTGCAAGTGAGTTGCCCAAGACCATGAAACCATAGGTAAAGGAAGATCAGAAATGAATTCCACATGTTTCAGCCGCTTTTGGGTTTCAGATGAAGTGTAGGGAATGTGGCTGGTATATGCAGCTGGGATCTTACTATGAATGTTATTTACCACTTGTGTAAGCAGCAGCAAGGCAACGTAATCCTGAAATGGCACAAGGAATCACAGAACGAGGAGCCCCAGAAAGGTTGAAGAGCTGAGCTGAAGAAATTCAATGGAATCAAACACGTTCTCCTTATTTCCTTCCTTCATTTCAAAGAAAAGAATATACAGGATGGGAAATGTGGCAAACAAGCAGCCATGTAGGCAAAAAAAGACCCAGGGCTCAGTTACAAGCGAGGTGAGGTCTGTGAGTCAGTTGGGGTAATGTGGGGACACTGAGCTGAAAAGTCACCCTAAAGGAAACAATCAGACACCCAAAATATTTCCTCCTTGCTCTGTGTAGGTTAGAATGCACCTGGTGCCTTACCCGTGAGTGGAGAGCTTGCTTCTAGAGTGATAGAAGGGTAAACACAAACTTAGAGGTTTCCACAAGGAAGGTAATGGGCTGTGGGGAGCAGAGAGTGCTCTAAGCTGCCAAATGAGGCCAAAATGCAAAGACCTGGAAATGTGTAGCTTGAAAACCATCTTCAGGTTAACAGTGGCAATGATAACAACTCATACTTGTTGATAATGTGCTATAAGCTTTACACGCTTTGGGGATTGAATAAAACCACCTTGTTCAGCTAGAGTTGTGGTTGAGCCCATTTTACAGAAAGGAAAGTTGAGTCATGGAAGTGGTTGCATGCTTAAAGTGACCATAGCATTGTAGGTAAGTGATAGGATGAAGTCTAAAACCCACAGTTGTTTGTCTTTAAAGCCCATATTCTTTGTTCTTATCATGTTTTCGTCCAGCTATTGTGCATTTTTTTTCCATTCTACCAACTCAAGCTCTTCAAAATTCTAAATATTCTCTCTCTTGCACTTTTTTTAGTGGGAAAGGCAGATTAGATTTACAGAGAGAAGGACAGATAGAGAAAGATCTTCCATTCACTGGTTCGCTCCCCAAATGGCTGCAACAGCCAGAGGTGAGCTGATCAGGAGCCAGGAACCTAGAGCTTCTTCTGGATCTACCAAGCAGGTGCAGAACTTTGGACCATCTGCTGCTGTTTTCCCAGGCCATAAGCAGGCAAATTATTGGTTCCATCAAACCTCAGCAGAGTGGATTCTATTCCACTCTGAGGAGTGAGGGTGCTGAAGCTGAGATTGTAATTACTCCAGTGGCCTTGCATTTGTGCAGGCATGGTCGTGCCCAGGATCATTATTTTTGCAATGTTTACTTAGGGACTGTCATGATGGCATAGCAAGGTAAGCCTCTGCCTGCAAAGTCCGTATCCCATATGGTTGCTGGTTTGTGTTCTGGCAGCACTACTTTGTCTTCCTTTTTTTTTTTTTAAAGATTTTTAAATCTATTTTTATTGTAAAGTCAGATATACAGAGAGAGAGAGAGACAGAGTGAAAGGTCTTCTGTCCGCTGGTTCACTCCCCAAGCAGCCACAATGGCCGGAGCTGTGCCAGTCTGAAGCCAAGAGCCAGGAGCCTCTTCAGGGTCTCCCAGGTGCAGGGTTCCAAGGCTTTGGGCCATCTCAATTGCTTTCCCAGGCCACAAGCATAGAGCTGGAAGGTAAGTAGAGCCACTGGAAGTAGAACTGGTGCCCATATGGGATCCTGGCACGTGCAAGGCAAGGACTTTAGCCATTAGGCTACCGCGTTGGGCCTGCAGCACTACTTCTGATGCAATTCTGTGCTAATGGCCTGGAAAAGCAGTGGAGATGGCCCAAATGATTCAGCCCTCCAACCACGTGGGAGACCTTGAATAAGCTCTAGGCTCCTGGCTTCTGTGTAGCCCAACACTGGCTGTTGTGGCCATTTGGGGAGTGAACAAGCAAATAAAAGACCTCCTGCTAACTGCCTTCAGATAAAAATAAATAAATCTTTTTAAAAGCTTTCTTTCTTTCTTTCTTTCTTTCTTTCTTTCTTTCTTTCTTTCTTTCTTTCTTTCTTTCTTTCTTTCTTTCTTTCTTTCTTTCTTTCTTCCTCTCAACAGCAGAGAAAGAGGAAGGAAAGGATGGGGGCTCTATTCCATCCACAGATTCACTCTAATAATGACAGCTATCAGTAACCTGGGTTGTGCTGGGCCAAAGCTAGAAATCCTGAGTTCAGTCTGGGTCTCCCGCACGGGTAGGACATTACCCTTACTACTTGAGACCTTATCTGATGCCATCTGGGCTGTGCATCAGCAGGAAGCTGGAATCAGGAGGAGAGCTCAGTCCTGAGCCCCGGCACCCCGATATTGGATGCAGGCATCCTGAGCAGTTTAGCTGCTGCACCAAATACCTGCCACATGTCGCTGTCTTAACCCACAGCCTTCTGTGAGCTCTGGGTCTGGTCAGAATGCTTTAGGGACTAGATCCACAGGCTGGGTTACAGTCTGCCCTCAAGACCAGACTGCACACTTAACAGGGCACATCTGAGAGCAATTGCAGATTGAGTAGGAAAAACTCCTTTGGGAATAGTCACAGTTGTGGACTCATTTTCAGCTTTTTGTTGACCTGCAGATACCATTCATCTATTTCTGGGTCCTTGTCTTCCTCAAGGTGCCCTCTTCCAAGCCTAAGTGCAACAGAGATAAACACTAAAGGTAAATATAAAAGAGGAAGACCTGTAGGTTACTGGGGAGGTGTGTGTCAAGCAGACTGTGTCTTAACTATTGGAGGGAGATAAGTCAGGGCAGGACCAAGTGCTGACACTAAATCCAGGAAAAAACAGAGAGGCAGGGATGCTAAGGAACCCTGAGACTCCAGACCCATAAACACACAGTGCAAGAGAAGTAGGGTTTCTGAATGGGAAGAGTATTCGACCCCAAACTGGAGCAAAGAGTACTTTGTGTCTGTGGCTCAGGTAGAGTGAAGTCTCAAGGCCTTGACACCACCCTGCCACAAGATACAGGAGTCAACTAATACGAACATTGGCCAAGCTTTTTGGTTTTCTCTACTGTGAGTATTCCTCCATGAGTCAGGGTGATTTCCTTTGGTGATGAGCATTCAAGAAGAGGCCAATAAAAGAGCAGAAGAAAGATTCACACACAGCGCTGTAGCAAAGGCATGAACTGACCCCTGGAATTTCCCCAAATCTCCACAACACATTTAGCCAGGAGCCTCTATTTTTGTTTTTCACAAGCAGCTTCAATGAGGGTCTCCCGGCACCAATTCCTCATTCCTCCTTTCATCTCTAACCATAGTCAACTCACAAAGATCTTCCCATCTAGGATATTTGGGATTGTATGTGACATGCAATTCCTTGGAACTAGCATCCTTCTGGCTCCTATTTTTATCTTTGGATCATTAGAGAGGAAAAATGGGGAAGTGGCTTATGGAAGTAGAGGAAGATATTGGGGTATATTAGGATCCCATGGCCCTTACATAAGTCTCTTATTCTAAAACCCTCCTTCCTTATCTCCATTCATTTTTTCCAATTAGTTCACTTGGATGTCTGCAAATGCCTCTGACCATCTCCACTGCTCCAGTTATGTAGCCCAGCCAGGGGCAGAATAGTAGGAAGATCCCTGTGGATGCTGGTGCTGGTAGAACATTCCTCTGCTAGGCAGGTAACAGTGATCCAAGCGGTTCTTCCCCACAGGAAGTCCCCTTTATTACCTGACCAGTCAGATGCCCCCTTTCCCTGCTTATTGCCATGTGGAGATCACAGTCTTATAGAGTACTACCTGTGGTGAGTACAGCTGTGCTCCTTGAAATGGTGAGAACATGGGGACTCTTGGGCATTCTTCTCAAGATGCTTTGTTTGCACCTCTTTCATCACTAACTATACTTTGTGTCTGGATTTATTGTCACTTGTGGTGTTTACTGCAGCCACTCCTTCATTCTGACCACACAGTTCCTTAATAGAATGAAACTTAATCACGCCTGCCTGAGGTTAGAACAGTCCTGTTCTCCCTGAACCTTGGAAGTGTCCCCTCAATCACCCAAGTTTCTCTCCTACCCTGTGAGGAACCACAGGTGTATGTCTGCTGCATCTTTACCAGCATATAGGAAAGAAGACATTATTTTGAAAATTTTATTTTAGGGCATAAGCCCTATCCCTTCGTTTTAAAGATTTTTAAAAAAAAAATCATTACTAAAACAAACTAATGAAGAACATCAATAACCAGCAAGATATTGTGTGGCAGTTTGAGAAATCTAGAAATAGTGATGACTGAAGTTACTGGAATGTGGTCACTTCCTTAGCCATCTTTGCCATACACCTCATTCACTGTTAGTCTGTGCAAGCTGCTTCTAAAACAAATTGGACCTTGCTGTCTTCACATCCTGGACCCTTAATGCCATGAGATAACCCTTCTCCCCCCATCAAATTCATGCCCTCTCAGAGCTTTAGAAAATAGCCTTGGTGGAAATAGAGCCTTGTCAATATCATAGCTAAATATCTTTATAAGAAATTATTCTGGATTTAGAGTAAGCCCTTCACTTAACATGTGATATTGATGGTAGCAGCTTCTCGGCCCTTATGTGCTTCACGTTCCTTTTTCATTCCTGCCCTCAGTCCTGACCCCATATAATCTGCCCTTATCCTCAGGTTTCATTTGTTCTCAATTGTGTACCTTCTCTAGAAATTCAACCCAGTTGTTCAAGTAGCACCGTGGACATGCAGAGTAACACTGAGACCCAAGTCCTAAAACAAGACAAGTGGGAAGTTTTAAGATAAACAGAAATAAAATGTGTAGAGGTAGCAGATGATACTTGCATCTGGAATTGACAGACACCAACCACACACAGAACACCATTTGTATTAGTTTATTTCATTTCATATTCAGAGTTGGGAGCTAAATCTGTGAGGCAGCCAAAAGGAAAGACAGGAGGGGAGAGGCACAGAGGGAATAACTCTTCATGAGCACATATTAGAAACAGGTGCAGGAGAGGATAAGGATGAAGAATGACTCAGGTACACTCTTAGAGCTGGCGTCAGGGATTCTTCTTCTTGACCTGCAGAAGAGAGACCACTGTCAGGATCCTGGAGCCCGTGGAGCAGCAGACATGGGGTGGAGAAGACAGGGTTTGGAGTCTGACTTTGAGTGGGACTGGCTGGTCCTTCTCCTCCTCCACAGATACATCCTACCTTTAATGACTCCTGCATCTTCCCCCTTACCAGTGCACTACGGTTTTGCCAAGGTTACAAGACACATCAGGGCTGGGTCTGAGCTCGGAGTCTCTTTCTCAGATCAAGTATGAGGTGCCATTCTTTTCCTGCAATATCAGTTTCATCATGCTGCCCTCCTCCTTACCATGGCCATCAGCACAAGGGCGCTGACCAGCACAGCGTAGAGGGTGGCCTTCCCCAACAGGATTTCATAGAGCACGGTAGCAGACAGGACTCCCTGTTGATAGGACGCTGTTGGCAAGATGAGATAACACAGGGACAGCAGTGAGCAGGGGCTGTGGCCTCCTCTACTCCTCCCCCCAACCCACTATCCATGGGTTTTCCATGTTCTGGTTTCAAGCAAAGTCTGTAGGTGGAGGAGGAAAGAAGGGGCTCACTTACCTGAGGTGAAGCCACAATCTGGAATACAAAGGAAGAGAAATTTGGATGAGAAAATGTCAGTTCTTGAGGACACTGAGACTCAAATCAGACTTGGTTATTTATTTACTTGTCTAGATTTATTTATCTTCATTGATTATTTGAAAGGATGGGATACAGAAGAAGAGACAGATGGAAGAAGACATCTCCTCCATCCACTGCTTCTCTCCTCAGATGCCTGTAAGAGCCAGGGCTAGTCAGGAGCCTGGAACTCAGTCTAGGTTTCCCATGTGGGTAGGAAAGACTCAAACACTCTGGGAATCACTTTCTACTTTCTTGCGTCTGCAAGGACAGGAAGGTGGCTCAGAAGCAGGCCAGTTTGGATTTGAACCAGGCAGTGTGACATGGGATGTGGAGTTCCATGCAGGAGACATAACTGCTGTACCACATGCCTGTACTCATAGATTCACAGGCCACAAACATATCAGACGGTGCAGAGTGAACCTCTTCTCATAGCCCTGGCACTATATGCCTGAAGCTTCCACAGTGTTGGGAACCTGATCATCTAAATTATATCCAACAGGACCAGTCAAAGGGGCAGGAGAGACACCCTATAGATGCCAATCTTTAGGGCAGGACACCAGGGGAGCTGTCAGTAAAGTCAGAGGCTGAGGAGTATGGGGAGGAGTGAGCCTGGTGTGGTCTGCTCAGTTTCTGTGATTCATGGATGGGGAGTGTGCTCTACAGTTCTGGAAACTGCAGACTTTGTCTCTTGCCATCAACTTTGGTTTTTCTTCCTCTCTTGTCTTCTTCTCTACCAGCAAACTTTCATTTGCTAATGCTGTTTGGCTTTTCTCTAGCCTCCCCAGGTTGGCTTACCTGCTTTGCCCCGGACCCCAGCACTGATGTTCTGGGTCACAGGTTTGATCTCATTGTAACTCCACACATCCTCATCTGCGATCCCATAGAACTGGACTTGGCAGTGGAAGTAGTTGCGGGGGTTGTGCCAGAAGGCGGCTGACACCCGCAGGCGGCTGCTCAGGCAGTATTTGGAGCCATTGACGCCAGGCTGCTCCTTGAAGGGCTGAGGGTCTGTGCTGACCCCATTGTGGACCTCCTTCCCGTTCACCCACCAGCTCAGCTCCACGTGGTCGGGGTAGAAGCCTGTGGCCAGGCACACGAGCGTAGCCTTCTGGGTCTTGGCGATCTCTGCTTCTGAAGGCTCAAACAGAGTGACCTTGGGTATGGTCACCTGTCTCAGGTCCTCTGGAAAGTGAAGAGGGGTGGGGAGCAGGGCTGCTGTGAGATCTGTCTGGGCCAGTGTGTGTGTGTATGTGTGTGTACACGTGTGTGACATGGCCAGGAACGATTCATGATTGAGCACACCAATGCTGCTGTAGGTCGCATCCCATTCCTCTGTGATTGCACTGCCTCTCCCTTCTGTCCTGTGGGTTCACCCCAGGCACAGGGACTGTGTGCCATCTCCACGTGCCCCCATGATGGCATTCTAAATGATTCTACCCTGCACTCTAAGCAATGCCCTTCATTGCTATATTTTTATTCTTTCCCCTTCATCTATAAAAGTTTACCTGACTACTTTTTAACCATTTTACCTAGTAGATATTTAAATGTAGCCCCAGGTAGAAATCAGAACAATAGGATTTAATTAGAACTATCGAGTCCAACACTACGACTTTGGGGTAGTCTCTTCAGTATCTCTCCATTATCTCCATTATTTATTTCTGGCTGTGATATGAGAGCGAAAACACTGACTTTCTGTTTCTGGGAAATACCACATGCTCTTCCTCACATGAGGAAGCTAAGAAAAACACTCCATCTGAACACAGCATGGGGATTCTAGAAGCTGGGAGGTGTCAGAGGAAGAGAGGGAGTTTGGATAATGGGTACCAAAGGCAGAATTAGATCAAAGGGATGAGTTCCTCGTGTTGCACAGCACAGTGGGGGAAGGCTACAGCTCACTGGAGCCTCATATATATTGTATGAACAGATCAAAGAGAGATGCTTCAGGCTGCAATCATAAAGTGATGTCTGAGAAGGGGGAAATGCTGATTACACTCTATTGAAATTTAACACTGTAGGCCATAAATATGCTCAGTTATTATCAATATTTTTTAAAAGCACATACTTTTCCCAAAGGGTGTGAGAATGAAATAAGGGTTCAGAAGGCCTCATCTTAAAACACAGGTTGTTCACATCTGAAATGATAGGACTGCAGAAGAGGGGAATTTGGGATAGGGGAGACCTTGGGGGGCTAAGGTCCTTCTTCAAAAAAGGCAGCTGGGCCATTTTCTGTCTACTCGGGAGAGAACGTCTTTGTGTTTTGGTGTGTGCTCCTGAGAGCATGAGATTTCCTGATATTTTTGTCTTTCTCGAGGTCATTTTCTTCATGTCCGGGTCTCTCCGGCCCAGACCAACAGTAATCTCCCATGATTTTAAATTCAGGGATTTTCCCAAACTTTCTTGTGCCTTGGCAACCAAGTGTTACACTTCTCCGTACCGGCAAGTTTCCTAAACAAGCATCTGAGATCAGCCAAGCAGCTGATGCTACGAATCGTCTTCCTCATAGCATTGCTGCCCTCAGCATCTCACTCCCCATTTTACTCCCATAATAGCCTTCTCCCGTTGAAAACTCCCTTCTTCTGGGCCTGACATACATTTGTTTTATCGCATTATTTGCTTTCCATGGAATTTCTATTTCTCAGCAATTTTGTGAACATGAAGAAACATTCTTTTGTGCTGATATTTCCTCACATTTCCACGGAAGTGGCTACCGTGCAGGCCCGGCTTTTGGGTTTGTGAGCTGTGCAGCTGCACACACTCACAAGCTTAGTGGAATCCCAGGTTTGGATTAGTGGTAGCCTACTGCTGTTTTGAAATTCTGAACTTCATTTTGAAGTGAGAGTTAGACCTTCATTTTTATTTTGAGCTAGGTCTGCAATTTTTTTAAAGCCAGTCTTGCCTCCTTTCATGTTGGTGTCATCATTACAGTTTTAGGGTTTGAAGGACTATGATGCACCTGACATCCCAAATTACATCTGCAGTACTACTCCATTAGTCTTTCTGCAGTCGGTCTGTTTATGTACACTGTCATCTCACACACCCTGGCCCTAGGAAGGTATTCCTATCACTCCCTGTGTAAGTACACATCAATCTGTTGTGAACATTGAAGATGTGCATTGAACCACATGTGCCATTCTCCAGGACATTTGTCCATGCAGCAGGCAGGTCAAATGCAAACAAACCTTCATGACACTGGGCCTGGTCACTGTTAGCAAATAACCCAGAGGAACAGTCAGGGCTGGTGAGGTGCTTCCTGGCCTCAGAGCACTCATTGCTAGGCAATGTTTAAGTCCCTTCCAGTTCTAAGAGCATAACATCTTGGAGGGAATTTTCCCCCCTCTGCACAAAACAAACATCTGCATTTGAACACGTTTGTCACAAATGAACTCCTGGCATACTCTGGGCTGTCTAACACAGAGTGCTCATGTGGAGACCAAGGTTCTGGGCTCACAGGGCAGAGGATTCACCCAGCAGGTCATGCAGCCCAGCCCCAGAGGCCAGCAGCTCTTTGCTGACCAGCCACTGGCCGCCAATGTGGATGCTGTGCACCCATCCTGCTCAGGGACTCCACGCTTGAGGAGCAGAGGGAAGCAGGGAGGGACTCTAAAATTCATTTTAAACCCACTGGGCTACACAGTAAGTCAGCAATGCCTGGCTGGTTTGGACACTTCTTTACTGACTTGCAGTGGTCTTTGCAACTTGACCTCTCTGTTGTGCCTTGTCAATCCATTTCTTCTCTATCCAACTGCGCACAAAGCTAGAGTCACTTCTGCCCCATGACACCTGCCAGAGCTGCTCCTTGCAGGTGCCCATCCCGTCCCTGCCTATGCAGCTCTTTTTTCCAAGCGGCAGCTACACTGGGGTTCTAACCCCCGACCCTCACATCGAATTCTATCTAGCAATTCCCAGATTCCCAATGTATCCTCCCCTTTCCCATCCCTCATCCTCAGGAAAATTAAAACAAACAAACAAACAAACAAACAAACAAAAAACCAACATCACAATCTGGTCCTATTCTCAAGGTTCACCTAGCCTCAGCCCACCCAGTCCTGCATGAAGCAAGGAAAGCACGAAAGAGAAGTTGCACGGACCAGCCCAGATTGCCCAATCCTGGCAGAGACCAGTTCCTGTCGCACCCCACACCCCTCCGTGACCCCCGGGATGTCTGGAGCTGGAAGGTTGGAAGGTGCGGACGTTCAACTCACCTACGACCGTGAGCCTGGTTCCTGGACCAAGCTGCTGCTCATAGGAGCACGGAGGCACAGCTATGCTCGAAAACGCCCCCTCTGTGCTTGCCATCGGCGGCAGGCGACAGCGCAAAGCCAGGACTCTCAGCGCACCGCAGCCGCCTTCCACCCCGCCGCAGCCGCCCCAACCACCCTGGCCTTTAGTTCGGCAGGGACTCACCCAGTACGGTCAATCTGCTGCCGGCACCGAAAAATTGCTCTGTCCTTGCAGAGCACAGCTTGGAGGCTTGCAACAAATATCCGGCCAGCTGCGGTCCCGGCCCGCACTACCCCTAGCACCAGGAGCAGGGTCCTCCAGGTTCACTCAGTCATGCGGTCCGACCCCTTCCCCTGGAGGCCCCGGGCTTGTACCCGGCTTACCTAATACGGAGAGCCGGGTGCCGGCGCCGAAGTACTGGGTATCTTGGGCTCACAGCCCGCAAGGACAGCACAAAAACAAACCCTGCCATTGCTACCACCACTTCCCACCGGCGCCCCAGAACCCAACCAGCCCACCTCCCTGCTTACCGAGCACAGTCAGCCGGGTCCCTGAGCCAAAGTACTGAGTTTCTGTGCTCACAGTCTCCAGGCACAGGACAAAAACTGGTTCTTCCCTTTCAAGCACCCAGAACTTTGAGTGCTTGGGTCCAAACAGTTGGGCATCTGGGCACTTGTCCACCTGGTCCTATCTTAACCCACCCCCACCGAGCGCTCCAGGACTCCCCCACCCCTGCCCCACTGCACTCCTTACCTAGCACGGTCAGCTTGGTGCCATCCCCGAAGGACAGCTGCCCGGTGTTCACACAGCCCTGGGAAGCCTGGTGCAAACCTCACCTCCCACCAGACAAAGTTCAGCATCACCCAGGACCCCACCTCTTTGAGACCATGGACAAGCCAGAGTCCACTTCCCCTAAAGCTCCATTTCAAGGGGGTGGTCCAGGCTGAGTAGTTCATCTTCCCTTCTACCTGGAACCGGTGGTCTTACCTAGCACGGTGAGCCGGGTTCCTTGTCCGAAGTACTGCTCATTGTAAGAGCACAGTGGGAAACGGCTGCCACGAATTCCTGCTCATTGGCCATCTCCCTTAGCACCGTCTGGGAGTGCTCCCTCCATCTCCTTCCTGGATTTTTACCTGGTCACTTTATGAAGTGCTCCCCCAATTTGCACAGGAGAACCAGGCTGGCTTGCAGACAATAAAGTGGACTTGATATCTGAATGGGATGCCTGTGAGGGCAGGCTGGAATTGGGAAGTATTTTGGGCTATATCCTGCCTCTTACTGGATATATATGATGTCTAGTCTCTCTGACTTCAGTTTTTTTTTTCTCTGAAAAATGGGATGTCTCTCCCACAGTGTCCTTGTGGGTTCCTCATAATAAATGCATGTACATGTGCTTTGTCAAGGGCAGGTTTCATGACAAGTGGTGAGGGGTGATCCCACTCTGCTGCCTTGGCTTTCACACTCCTGGGAAGCTGCCCCCGGCATTTGCTGCTCTAGGCTCCTGAAGACCGCAGCAAGCGCCAGCTCCAGAGATCTCTCTCCCTTTGGTAGTGGCTACTTTATTGGGCAGGGCTTTTTGTAAAAGCACCTCCTCTACCTGAATCATTGTGCCCCCCCCCCAGTCCCCACAATGTTACATCACGATACAAAAATGTTTTCTTCTGCTCTCCCCCTCTGCCAACCACCAGGCAGGTGCAGGAAGTGCAGGTGGCAGAGGTTGGTCTGACTGAGTGTGGCTGGGAAAAGACAAGCTCGGGGTAAATTTAAAGTGGCTTGGGTGTGGTGGGGCTGGGAGTGGTGGTGGTGACAGGCACTCAGAGGCCCCTTCTAGAACATACCCCACCCTAGGGAGACATCTATGTCATTGGGTCTCCCCTCTGTGGCTCACTGTGCCCACCTTCTCAGATTGGCATTTATAATGAGGTGGGTGGGAGGAGCAAGGAGTGGAAAAGCTTCTCTAACAGTGAAATCTATAGAGCTCTTTTTGGCAACTTACAGCACAAGGACCAATTGCATAGAAAACTACAATCCTCTACTGCTTTCCAAACAAAGCCCAAACCCATCGCTCATGGGTGCCACAAGTGTGTATGAACAGTGATGACGTGACAGACCGCATGCTGATTTTAAGGACAAGAGTCCATTTACAGAACAGAATTTCCCAACTTCCTTGCCAGCCTTCTGTTTGAGTACTCCTGTCTCGTTCCTTAGACCCAGGCCACTGTATCATACTTCTAAAAGTATCTACTCACTCTCTGAGATAAGTCCTTCCTTTGAAGAATTGTCTACCTCAGGCTTGATCATTCCCATCAGACACTAAACATTGGCCTTTGACTGTATTTTAGGAGACAGTTACACTTCGTTTCAAAGCCTTATGCTGTATTCCAGCTCTTGAAGACTTACACTTTTTTTTAAAATGATTGATAAGTTCCTCAGAGATTGTAATTTGATATCTTTATATATTTGGAGCATGATAGAAACACATTAAGATGATACACATTCATGAGTGTGTGAGTGTGTTGCTTTTTGGGTGTGTAAATATATGGCTTGTGGACCTGGTGTGGTAGTCTAACGGTTAAATCCTTACCTTGCACATGCCTGGATCCTATATGGATGCCAGTTCATGTCCTGGCTGCTACACTTTCCATTCAGCTACCTGCCTGTGGCCTGGAAAAGCAGTAGAGGATGGCCCAAAGCCTTGGGACCCTGCACCCATGGGGGAGACCCAGAGGAAGCTCCTGAGTTTGGATTAGCTCAGCTTTGGCCATTGTGGCCACTTGGAAAGTGAACCAGCAAATGGAAGATCTTTCCCTCTATCTTTCCTTCTCTGTGTAAATTTGACTTTCCACTAGAAATAAAGCAAATCTTTATATGTATATACGTTGTGTACACACACATACATTTGTGCATATGCACACATAGCTTTGGATGCCTATATGTTGCAATACAGAGGACTCCTTTTTCCTGTGATAGGATACATGGTTTTTTCGGTCAGACCTTGTGAGGATGACAGGTGCACTCTGGGTTCAATCATTTATTCAAAGATACTACCCAGTATTTACACCAAATCAAGATATCAGTGTCATATCCTAGAGATACTATCATAAGTCACATGCTGCTTATCAAAGAATTTGCAGTCAAAAAGGGTTCTATACAAGTAAAGAGACAGTTTCCATTAAGTATGAGAAGTTGTTACTATGGTGGTAAACACTAGGCAATATAATAGCGAAAAGAAGATACACTCAAGACAACTCAGCAGAGACAGAGGTGGGCAAAGGCAATAAAGGACTAGAAGTGCAGAGTCAGTTATTTAAGGTTAAGTATGAGTTACCAAGGAAAGAGGGGTTCTATGTAATTTCAGACAGAGAAGCCATGTGCAGGGGAAAGAATGAGATGACTGCAAACGAAGGGGACATAGGGCTGTCAGTGGCTCTTTGGAGCTGTCTGAAGGACCAGCACTGCATCACCTTGGTGAGTTTGAGACCATGGGAACCATTTGAAGATCGTCTAGATGTTGGAATAGGACTGATTCTAGGTTAGGTAATTCTGTTTTATATCCTTCCAGAAGTTGATCAAAGACATTTTACCAACCATCTAATTTTCCAAAGAGAAATGTGTAAGTATGTTTGTAATGTAGGTTGGACATCTTCTATCAGAAACAAACTTCCGAGCTAGTGCACTTTGTTCTTGTCATCTGGAAAACCAACCTGATGAACAAAGGAAAACAAGCTGTGTACTCAATGAGCTGGCTTTGCTAGCCAAGGGACATGACTGGTTGGATGATGGGAACAATTTGTTGAGCCGTTGATCCTTGGGAGCTATTTTTCAAAGCAGGAAATAGGAAACAACAATCCTTTAAGTGACATCTCTTTCTAGTCTGTTCTAGCACTAACTGTTTCAGCACCTACACATCTTTCACAATTAATTGAGTTCTCTGTCAACCACAGAGTGAGTCCCTCACTTCTCCCACCTGTCAGAGATGCACTTTCCCTGAATATTATAACTTCCTCTCCCGACTGAACAGGGAGTGTCACAGGGAGTTCAGAGACATGCAGAAGAGAGACACAGACACACATGTGTCAGAGGCAACCCTGACCAGGGTGCTTTTATTCATTAATTCATTCAGGAATGCTAAGGTTGCTCTGGGCCAGGGAGATTTCTGCCACGATGGCCTAAGTGTGCACACACACACACACACACACACACACACACACACACACACAGGGGGAAGATACTGGGCTTTGTAGAGAGATGAGAACACATCTCCAGAAGCATTGATATAGGAAGCATCCGCACTGCCACTGGCACAGGTTGGAAGCTGCTGGTTTCATCTGCTGAGAGCTTCAGGAGTCCTTTCTCTTGACCTGTAGAGGATATTGACAGAGAGTTACCTATATCCAGGAATAGTGCATAATGACAGGAAGTGGGGGAGAGTATTGACAGGAAAAAGTAGGACTCCATGCAGTAATATCCCTTAAGTTTTCCAAGGACAACTTCCACTTCCTGATAAGGAGCCTTCCGCTGCAATCCTATTGAAGTACTTATTTTCCCTTGGTGCACATGAATGCTCTACTACCCTTTACATGCACTGGCAGGAGCTTACTCTTAGCTCTGAGCTGCTCAGTGCCATGTGTCTCTTTCAAACCTTCCCACCCACCCTGGCTTCTTCCTTACCATGGCCATTAGCACAAGGGCGCTGACCAGCACAGCATAGAGGGTGGCCTTCCCCAGCAGGATTTCATAGAGGACGGTAGCAGACAGGACGCCTTGCTGATAGGACGCTGTTGCCAGGAAGGGAGAGCAAGTGGTTACCTGTGAGTATAAGTGTGTGACATCCCCCTACAACTCTCTACCCAGTCTTGCAGTGTGACCCAAGGGCATAGGAGCATGAGCAAGGGAAGAAACAAGGAGGGTCACCTACCTGAGGTGAAGCCACAGTCTGAAAGAAAAAGAGAGCGACGTGGATGAGAAACTTCATCTGCAGCAGATGCACAATCAATCAATCAATCTGCTTACACAGACCCTCAGGCCCAAGCATCCTGCACTGACCACCCTTGGTCTTCCATCATGCCAATGTCAGTCACATCATCCTTGACATGCATGCAACATGCAGTATTGAAAGGATGGAGACAGCCCTCAGATGCTGAACTGTATGGGCCAAGGAGCTGGGGGCTCCAGGCTCAAAGCTCTGCCATGCTGAAGAGCTGGGGAGTTGTTCCCAGGGGTGTCAGCTTGCCTTCATAGTGGGCTTTAGTCCCTGTTCCAGCATTTCCCCCTGAACTTATTCTCTTTGATTGTCTGTTTAAGCTTTTCCATTTTCATAGTCTATGTGATTTAACTCAACCTCTTCTCCTGTCTTCCCCAGGCCAGCTTACCTGCTTTGCCCCGGACCCCAGCACTGATGTTCTGGGTCACGGGTTTGATCTCATTGTAGCTCCACGCATCCTCATCTGTGAGCCCATAGAACTGGACTTGGCAGTGGAAGTAGTTGCGGGGGTTGTGCCAGAAGGCGGCTGACACCCGCAGGCGGCTGCTCAGGCAGTATTTGGAGCCATTGACGCCAGGCTGCTCCTTGAAGGGCTGAGGGTCCGTGCTGACCCCATTGTGGACCTCCTTCCCGTTCACCCACCAGCTCAGCTCCACGTGGTCAGGGTAGAAGCCTGTGGCCAGGCACACGAGCGTAGCCTTCTGGGTCTTGGCGATCTCTGCTTCTGAAGGCTCAAACAGAGTGACCTTGGGTATGGTCACCTGTCTCAGGTCCTCTGGAAAGTGAAGAGGGGTGGGGAGCAGGGCTGCTGTGAGATCTGTCTGGGCCAGTGTGTGTGTGTATGTGTGTGTACACGTGTGTGAGATGGCCAGGAACGATTCATGATTGAGCATACCACTATGCTGTAGTGAGTCTTGTATGCTATGGCGTGCTACTATCAGCCCCTTCATTCAGACACACACCACCTGCTTCTTACCCTAAGGTATCATAATTATCTTGACTTTCTTTGCAATGACATCTCTTTGGGAACTTTTTTGGTCAGTCTTCCTTGTTCAAACCCCAGACCTTTAAGCTGTCTGACTGAGTAGAATGAACTTGGATTTTTGAGGGAGTAACACTCTCATTAGCAGTGTAATCCCAAGGACACAATGGATTTTTTCTTATTAGCTTTTTTTTTTTTTTTTTACATTTGGCTGGCACTCGTATTAGAATTAACTTTTCCTGCCTGGAAGAGGCAGAAGAGGCATTTCTCATCACATCTGACTGTAATGCTTTGTTTACACTACACACAGCCAACTCACATTTTTTTTTCAATGTATGTAACTTGTTTAGAGGAGCCAAGTTGCCTCTGGATAATACCTTATCTGATGCTCCATCTTCACTGTTCCACTGAGGCCCAAGGGGCTGTGGTGGCTTGCCCAGGTGGCTGCAACCCTGCAGAAGTTCCTGCTCACCAGCTGAGCCCTTTCTACTTGGTGGTGTGGCTGTCAGGCATATTTTCCTGGCAAGGTTTGAAATCCTAGTTGGCAGTCAAGGCTTACATCCTTAAAAGAGGTGAAAGCCTGCTGGCTTAGTATAAGAAACCACCAAGTCCAGGGGGTCATCTCAGCAGGGGGTTCGCATTGTGAGGCCCTGGAGCCTCTCACAGGCATGGTGGGCAGAGGGAAAGAATTCCTGGGATCATTGGAAGGAATGACCTCATCTGAAATCCTAGGCAGAATGGAAAAAGTTCATTCATTCTTCAGCCACCCTCCCGTCACCAGAAGTTACTGTGTGCTCTGTTCTGAGCACGGGAGTGAACTTTTGACACAGAAAAGTGTAGAGCCTAAATGCCTCCCTTTTGTGCATATTTGAGAATCATTTCTAATGGGAAAATGAAAACACAGAATTGGGGGGAAAAAAAGGTAAACTTGTGAGATGGTGAGGAGAAACAGAGGAGTTAAAGAAATAATCGCAGTAAATTGAGTCATGCATAAATTTATGAAAGAATTTTGTAAGTTAGTTTCTTCTGTTTTGTGTTAGAGAACCTGAGAGAATTTAAGTCATTTTTTAAGTTGCGTGAGTCCCAACCTCTTCACTCCTTTGTCCCATGCCCTCCAACTCTCAGGAAACTTCTGGATCCCGTGATCACTACTTTCCTTGGAACTCCTTTCCAGGTACCTCCACTTGCAGAGCAGTGTTTGCCCAAACCCTTCAGTCCTGTTAGGGCCTGAGTCCCCTTCCTCCAGCCAGGACCCCAAGCCATCCAACAGCGATCTATTCATCTGTCAACTTCCTCCAAGTATGGCAAGGTTCATGATATGCTAGGGTTTCATGATGGGCCGCTCATCCTATTATCCCAGTATAAATCCAACCATAGGTTCAAGATAATGAGTCTCCAACTTATTTTTTTATGCCTTTTCTGCTGCTAAGATAACAGTTTCTTCTCCAATACCTGTCAAGCACAGTGCTTCCCAGACACTCCCCAGCGGTTCCTGCAATGCTGTGGCTGGGACTTCAACCAGACCTCAGGAGCAGCGCTTAAACCACCCTGTTCTTGACTCCCATGGTCTCCACTGCCCAGTAATCCTTTGGACTCTGTCAGGAAGATGGACATAGCTGGCCAGATGCTAGCCGAGACCGAGGGGGGCAAAGATGGATACAGCTGGCCAGAAGTTAAGTGAGACCGAGGGAGGGGAAGATGGACAGGAAGCCTTTTTTCTGGAGGTAGATGTTGGGAAGGATTTTGGCAGAAAAGACTGGGTCTTTGGTGAAGATGAGGTCAACAAGGCAGAGTGGATTAAAGAGGGAAAAGAGAACAAAAGGAGATCTGATAAAAAGAAGATGTAGGGGAGCAGGTCCAACAGCAGACTGAGAGGAGAGATGAGAAAAGTCCTGGAGGACAAGGAAAAGAACACAACACAAAGCTCTGAAGACTGACGGAGGAGTCTGTGAATGAGCACCTGCAGCCAACGCAGCAGAACAAGACAGGCCAGCTCCAGGGAGGCCAGAGAGGGGACAGGACTCCAGGGAGGGAGCAGCAACTTGGACCTTTACCCTTCCCCCCAAGTCCCTTCCCAGCTGCCCAAGCAAAGCAGCCCTCAAGCCCTCATACCTGTCACGGTGAGCTTGGTGCCGATTCCAAAGTAGAGGGGTGAATTAGAAGCACACAGCTGCAAGTGGTCTGAGTAAAACCCACCCGGAGCTCAGCAGCCAGAGGGCAAAGCTTGGTGTACTCCAAGTGGGAGCCTGGACCAGAGCTCTGCATTCCCGGAATTCCTCTAGGGACAAGGCTGAAGCACAACCTTGGAGAAGAAAGGCAGGGGCCAGAGACCTAAGAGGGCTGGCTCCATGCACATAGGAAGGAAGATGAATCAAGGAACAGGGAGGAGGCAGATCACAGACTGGAGACTTGGAGGGAGAAATGGAGGAGTCAACCGAGCTGCGCCCAGGACAGCAGATCCAGCCCCATGGACTCCTACGAGGTAAGAGGCTTTACTCTGCCCTTCCACCAGTGCCGAGAGGACAGACTGCTCCCAGGCACAGTGACCCCACCACTGTATCAGACCTATGAGAGTGAGCAGGGTCCTGAGGACAAAATACTGTGGCTTCATGCTACAGCACGAGTGTGGCAAACCCTGGAGGTGCTCTGGGGAACCTGCTGAGGACTGAGCTCCTCACTGGACCCTGGGGCTCTATCCATCCTCCAGCAGCCCTTCCATTTGCAGCCATCCTCTGCTGTTTTCTCCACACCTGCCTTCTTCATGTGTCCTCCTGCAACTCCAAGCTGGTTATATACCACCCCAAAATATGCATTTTACTTACCCAAGACAGATAGCTTGGTTCCGCTACCAAAAGATAGTTTTTCGTTATATGCACACCATTAAAGCCCAGCAGGAAATCTGACACCAGCTGGCCTTCCCTTCATTCCTCCCCAACCTACCAGCTAGCCCTCTCTCCCACTCCTTAGATAATTTTAACTTTGGGAGGTGCAACAGCGATGGGCAGCTTTGCCACTTGAGAATGCTGGGGTCAGAGGATCGAACGGCTGCACAGGACCCTCACACCTCTCTGTGTCTATCTGCTTTCTGCATGAAGAAGAGAAAAGGCAGGGCCATGTCTGAGTAAGGTGAGGGTCTCTTCCATCTGCCATGGCCAGCAGACAGGAGTGACAAGGTGATCCTTTCCTAGCTGAGCCCACCTGCCACTCAATGGGGGCCCATGCTTACAAGTCAGTCCACAAGGTATTGGAGATGGAGGTTACCCCCCCTCCATCATGCTACATCAAGGTGAGAATTTAGATCTTTCTAGTAAAAATACAAGTTAACTTACACTCCCAAGACAGCCACTGCTGCTTCCGGATACTGGCTACTCCTTGTAAGTTCCCAGCCCTCCAGTCCAGACTTACACTTACCTACAACAGTGAGCCGACTCCCCTTCCCAAAATAGAGGGTGTTTCCAGAACACAGCCTCCCAGGTCCACTTCAAAACCTCCCCTGGTCTGAGAAGCAGAGCTGGGAGTTGGGACAGGCGGGGCGTCTATGGCTTTGCTCACTTTCAAGCAGTTCACCAGCCCTGCTTCACTCACTCCACAAACACACCCCGAGCTTGCCCAGGACCCAGTCGAGAAAAGAAGACAAACTGGCCTCCTGTGAAATCCAGAGCCAGGGGAGATACGAAGGCCTTGCATGGAGTTTCTGTTGGACAGATGTCACAGCTCATCCACTGCCCTTTGGGCGTTCCCTGGCTCCCATGTCTCAGGGATCCTCTCGCAAGGGCAGCATCATCTCCTGTCTGTCCCCTGCCCTGTCCCCCAAGGATCCGCTCAGACTCTGCTGAGACCTCCTGGGTTTTCCAGGTACATTGACCTACCCGGGGTGCCTTCCCTGAACATGATTCCATGCAGGAAATGCTGTCTCCCTCAGCCAGATCCCAAGCATTGGACTCGCCCTTTCCTCTTGCGTTTCCCAGAAAAGAACACCCCTTCACTGCACCCTGCCCAGAGACCCCCAGCCTTACCTACAACTGTTAGCCTGGTCCCCGAGCCGAAGGTGTAGTCATAGTTAGCACATCAGAGCATGGCCACTCCAAAATGGACCCTTTGGACCCACTCTCCTTTACAAATGCATTTGGGAAGGTATCCAAAAGTCTTACCTACAACCGCGAGTCTGGTTCCTTCTCCAAAGAAAGCTTCGGTGTTGGCACAGTGACTTGAGGCAAAGTGGAAAGTGAATTCAAAACGTGGAGAAAGGAAAGCCTTGCCTAGTGTTAGGGGAGTCTGGCTAAGGAATTGCCTTGTGCTGCACAGATACTGTGTAGAAGAACACTTCCAACTTTTGACCCTTAAGGCTACAGAGCAAGGCAGAGTTCATTGAGAGAGTCCTATGCCCTTATTCGCAGCTGACAAATGCTATCTCTCTGAGGTTCTCTTTAAAGGGTGTCAGCCTGTAGGGGGAAGTGGGTCCCTGAACCTATTTCTACACCTATCAGGACCAGGGTATCCCTGGCTTCTAAAAGATCACCTCTGCTGCACCTTCCCGTTGAACTTGGGACAGTTCTCAGAAGAGGTCCCTCTGAGTCCTTTGCCTGTGAGACCACTGAGGCATTCTCTTCCCTTTGGAGTCTCTCTACATGGGAAGTTCCAGTTTCAATCTGGGCTTGTGTTTGTCCATGGCCATGTGATCATGGGGTGAAGCAGAAGTACTCTGAATGAAACCACACCTGAGCTCCAAGCCCTTGGAGTCAAGTGGAGGCACTGAGGCCTTTGGGACAGGCAGATAGGTTTTTGTAAAGGAGCACCGTTGACTTGTATCACCGTGGCCCCCCTGTCCCCACAATGCTACAGCTTTGTACAAAAACAGCTCCTCCCATGGGCCTGCCCCTTGGAGCCTAGAAGAAACCACTGGGGGCAGCTGCTCCATTGAGGGGAATGGAGAGGAGGGCAGGTGATGCCACACCCGTCATGTGTGCGGTGATGGGGTGTGGCACAGGCCCAGGGATTCCTCTTCACTCCTAAGTCCTTCATCAGGATGCCTGAGCGTCTCAGACTGCGCCTCGCTATAACAATGCTGATGGGGCAGCGTTCTCCTCTATATCTGCCCTCCACCAGCTGTCGTCACACTGGGGACTTACCCTATCAAAAAGCAGCAGTCTCCTATGCACTTTGGTCCTACCCCAAGGCTGTGCATCACCCAAGGACCCCACCTTGCATTTGAGAAGACTCTTTAGCACCCAGACTCTTGCTCCTGGGAAAATTCTGAAGTTCCAGAGTGGTCATTTGGGTTCCGGGAGTCTCTGATGGGATCATGAGCAGATAGAATGATAGCTGGGAGTTTGCTGTGTCTGTAGCAGCAGGTATAATAAGCAGGAGGACCACGCTCGCTGTCAGCACTTTTGAACTCTTCCTGTTGGCCTCAGACATCACAGCCAGATGGACCGAGTTAAGAACATGAATGTGAGGCTTGATGAAGAACATAAGTCTTGGAAACACTCAGATGACATCCTATGGCATCTCTCTCTCTCTCATCTGGAAACTGGAAATCTTTTGAGTTGTTGGCACATATTTTTCCTTACACAAGATAACCCTTAAGTTCAAACTACACTAGAATGACCTCAGTATTATCTCCCCAGATGGGTTCTCTTTCATTGTTTTTCAACCTATGAGTTATAATCCTGAAGAGAAAATAGACCATGCCTGCCTGGAAAACATAAAACAGGTCAGAAGACAAATGTTAACCTGGGAAAAGTACTTGCAATTCTCACTGGTAGTGCTAATCTCCCCAATATGTGATGCAATCTTCCAAATTCATTAGAAAATGATCCAGTAGTCTAATAAATACGGACCAATAAAAATATGTGGCTCAATAAAAATAAATCCAAAATATGCTTCACCATGGGAAAAATCCCTCAAAACGGTAATCCAAAACAAAATTACACTGAAATAGGACTTTTCATCAGTTTGACAAAACTGGATTATGGCAGGCAGATCATTCCATCGACTTGTCTGTAGTGAAGTGGCAGTGTTACACATTGAGTGCCTGTAGGAATGAAAAATGATGCCAGCTTTATAAGATGCAAATTGTGAATGTCTCTAAAGACTACAAATTCACTTCCTTCCACCCTGGAGACCCAACCTGTGGGAACGTTTCTTACAAATACTCTTAAATACAAATGAAATATTTGTGGAATATTTGCATTGCTCAGAACTGTAGAGGCACAGCAGGAAAATCTCAAGTGCTTATCAGTAAGGAGCTGGGTAAATAAAGCATGAAGATTGCCCAATACTAAAGAAGAATGGAAATATTTTTTATGCTGCTATGGAAAGCTTTCTGAGATACATTTTTAAGAGGATAAAAGTGAGCTTCAGAGTACCATTTGGTATGATAATTTTGTTGGTCTTACATTAGTATTTACAGGGGGTGGGCATTTGGTGCAGCCGCTGAGATGTCTGGGTCACTGAATCCCACCTGGAAGTGCTTGGGTTTGACTCCTCACTCTGTTCCTTATTCAATCTTCCTACTAACGAGCAGCCTGGGAGGAGGCTGATCATGACGCTGCTGCCCGCGTCAGACCCCAGTGATGGAGTTTCCATCACCTGCCTTTGGCCTGGTCCAGTCCTGGCTTTTGCAAACTTTTGGCGGTCAACCAGGAGACCATGATCTCTTTCTGTCTTTAATGTTCTCTCTGTGTCTTGGCCTCTTAAATAAAATGGATCTAAATAAACGAAAAATAAAATGATATCAAATTATGAAAGAAGCTGTTTCATGGTCCTGAATTAGCCCAGTGGGGCCTGATGCCTTCATGAGCTTCTGAGCAGGGAAGGTGTCTTTGCCATTTGCAGGATCCTCCGAGTCACAGCCTCTAGAATTGGGTCCTCGTGTTTCTTTTTAAACACAGCAGTGAGTGGGGCATTACCTGGTGTTTCTGCAGTAGCTCTAGGCAGGAGACCTTGGACTCTAACGGGAGTTGGGCAGGTGCAAGTCACCAAAGGATATCAGGGAGCTACAGAGTGGGGCTGCAGGCTGCTGTAAGGACAAGGCTGTTAGAATTCAGGCAAGCAAGACTAAAGGGAGACAGCCTGTTTACTTACCTCCTTATCAACAGCACATGTCAGAGTACCTTGCCCCAAGCCCCAATAAAAAGGCAGTGCTTTCATCAGCTGATGCATGGAAAGTCCCCCACCCCCACCCTCTCCACACACTATTTTCTTTTATCACCGCTCCTTGCCAAGGCATGCAGTTGCTTTTGATCTATTTCTGTGCATTTTCCTGTCTAACATCCTCTTTGTCTACCAATCGTTTGCCTGCTAAGTAAAAATTTCCTTTTCATCATCTAACAGAACACCAGAATCCCACCTGGCCTCACAAATAATGATTTCACTTTATCTTGGAGTCAGTTTCTTTCTGTTCAAATCCCCAGAGTCAGTCCCAGTTTTACTGTTCTCCCCCCGACTGGGAAGGCAGCATAAACTAGTTAGGCTGAGGTCGGGGTCGGGGGTCGTTCACATTTTAGGCAGCAGGGGGCAGCCTTTCCTTACGTTTTGAGGTCTATGTCGTTGCACTCTGAGCTAAGGCCACTTGAGGGCGAGAGGCGTATGTGCAGGGGGCTCAGCTGGAGACCCGAGGAGAAGCAGCGTGACCTACCAGCCTTAGTATGTAGGGAGTGAACATGGGATAGAGGAAAGAGTCCCCACTCAGAGCCCAGGGTCAGTGGGACCAGCACAGGGGCTGGAAGTCGGCAAAGACTGCTGGAGAGGGTGGTGGGCATCAGGCGGATGGAGCTGCAGGTGCATGGCCTCTGGATGGACCACTAGTGATCTCTAAGCAGTAGGAGAGAGCTGGGGAGAGGTGGAGGCGGGGACTGAGGCTGGGAACTCAGCAGGGGCAGAGGAAGGATGGACCCGCTTCCAGGATTAGGAACTCAGTTTCCAGGAAGTTTAGAAAGAGTTCTCTGGCAGCAGTCATACTGCATGCCAAGCGAGACTGAGCAGAATTCCTCAGGACGAGCTGGGATGGGGTGTTGGGGCCTTGTGCTGGGGAGACTTTGAAGACCAAAGTTGCTGGACTTGTTGCCCTTCTGGATCACAGTGCTAGCAGGAGGCAATGTGAGACCAGGGAGGGAAGCTCGGACTCTGAAGCATCAAGCCCAGGTCTGTCACCTGCTGGATATGTTAGTAGCCAGCACCTTGGAACCTCTGTTTTCCATTTTGACCACGAATGTGGAGTGTTGGTAAAGCTCTTGGAAGGCTGTGGTGTTTTAATATGTGGGGTGCATCAAATCAGATTTCCCACGAATCTTAGGGATGAGAGCAAGGTGCCCTCTTTGCCCCTCCAGACACATGAGCAGGTGGATGGGAAGCAAGGCCAGCGGGGACTCCTCCAAGTAGGGCATCTACTGCTCAGAGGGTGTTCAAGCAGGGTGACCAAGGGAGTGTGAGAAAGGGGATTCGCATGGAGGCCAGTGCTGGGGCTTTCCCGGATGTGTGAGCCCTGGGTATACAGGGCTCCTGCTGCAGGTGGAGGAGGTTGGGAGGTCTTGGTCACCAGGCCAGCAGGTGCACGCACGTTCCGAGGTCAAGGAGCCACTTCACAGAGAAGTACTCAAGTTTTGTTTCTCCCAGATCAGATCTAACTAGTTGGTTTCTTAGAATGTTTCTATGAATTGCCCACATTTCTCCTCACCTTTTCAATAGAATCTTCAATCCATTGTCACTTATTTTAGCAGCTCTTTATGTTATAGATATTAACCTTTTATGATGTAAGTTGCAAATGATTTTATGCAACTTATTACTTTTTATTGAAAAATGAGGCTGTTTTCACCATGCAAAATTGTTATGATTTTGTTTTAAGTAACTGAATTCTTCAGTATTTTCCTTTATGAATTCTGAGTTTGGTATCATAGGGAAACTTTCCCCAAATTTATTAAAATTATTTGCAATGTCTTCTCGCAGAACAACAATAACAAAAAGCAAGGGGCAGGGGCGATGGGAGGAAAAGAAGAAAGATAGAAAAGAAACTTCTGCAGCACCACCTGCTGGAAATGTTTTTCTCTGGAAAACAGAGCCTCCTGTCTCCCTGTGGATACATTTAGATTCTTTCTCTTCACATCCTGCTAAGCTGGAATGTTGGGCCCCGTCCTCATGTCCTCATGTCGGGGCCTCTCTGCTTTTCCCTCAGGGAAGGTGTCCATGGCTGACCCCCTACTGGAAGGTTGTCCCCAGAGTGAAATGAGGAAGAGGCCCAAACACAGCAGTACAAGCAGTCAGTTTATTAGCACTGCAAGCTCGGGGTCCAGGAGTCTTTAATTGGCAGCGATGGTTTCCTGAATCCAGCTCACGTAGTTGCACACCTTGGTGTAGACTCCAGGCTTGTTCTTCTGGGCACAGCCATAGCCCCAGGAGACAATGCCTTGGAGTTCTCCGTTACAGACCACGGGGCCACCGGAGTCACCCTGGGAAGGGGGCAGGGTGGAGTTGTATAAAGAGGGAGACACAGGGCCGGCATGGTGGTGTGGTAGATTAAGCTGCCACCTGCAATGCCAGCATCCGATACAGTGCAGTTCCTGTTCTAGCTGTTTCAGTTCCTATCCAGATCCACGACACTGACCTGAGCAGAGTAGCACAAGATGGCCCAGGTACTTGGGTTCCTGACACCCATGTGAGAGATCTGGACGCAACTCCTGGTTTCTGGCGTTGACCTGGCCCAGCACCAGCCATTGCGGCCATCTGGGGAGTGGTCTGTCTTCCAGTGGATGGAAGGTCTCTCTTGTTCTCTCCCTTTCCCCCTCTCTCTGTAACTTTGGCTGTCATATATGTACATATATTAAAAGGGGAGATGTGAGGAATATAACACTCAGGATCCTGCTCTGACTCGGGTCAGCTGTATGACTCCACATCTCCATTTCAAACTGAGATGACAGGTGGTACAAGGCAGTCATCCCGGCTTCTCCTTGGGGCTCCACACTCAGCCTCGCGCTCCCTAACCCCCAATCATAGGCATTCCTAGCCTGTATCCCGCTGGGGTCTGGGTCTGAGCACAGGTCTGCTCATGTGAAGGAGCTCAGGTACCTGGCAGGAGTCCTTGCCGCCCTCAAGGAAGCCAGCGCAGACCATGTTGTTGGTGATCTCGCCAGGGTAGGAGGCTTCACAGTCTTCTTGACTCAGCAGGGGCGCGTACAGGCATTGCAGCTGGTCCGGGTAGTTAGCTTGGAGGAGCAGGGAGAGACCGAGGAAAGAAGAGAAGTGGGTCAGAAAGGCCGGGTGGCAGGACAATTACCCTAGGCTGAGCATTGAGGGCAGTTACTGGAGAGGATCTCCAGAATGTAAGTCCTAGGGCTGCTGTGTGGGCTCAACTGGCTAATCCTCCACCTTCAAGCACCAGGATCCCACATGGGTGCTGGTTTGTGTCCTGGCTGCTCCACTTCCCATCCAGCCTGCTTTAGCCTGGGAAGGCAGCAGAGGATGATGCCAGTGTTGGGGCCCCTGTACCCATGTAGGAAACCTGGAGGAAGCCCCTGGCTCCTGGCTTCAGATAAGCTCAGCTGTGGCTATTGCAGCCACTTGGAGAATGAAGCAGTAGATAGAAGATCTTTCTCTCTCTGTTTCCTATTTTTTCTAAAGCTGCCTTTCCAATAAAAAAATAAATTTTAAAAAAAGGTAAGCTTTGGAAAGCAACAAAGGCTTTCAGTTCTTGCAGGGAACTGTGGACAGTTTCCCCTGCTTTTGTCCTCTTAATTCACAGTCAGTTCCTTGGGGCTTTGCATCCCTGAGCCTTGCAACCCCTGGGCACTGGCCATCGTTTGCAAGCTGGAAGCAATAGTGGCCAAACTCTGGAGCATTCTTTGTTCTGGAAAATGTGGGAACCATGGGAAGTAACAAGATAAAGAATGCCACTCACAACCAGAGCTCAGGGTATTGCCCCAGCCGCTGATGAGGCACTCGGTGCCAGCAGGTGCACAGGAGCTTGGCAGAGAGATAGAGGCCACCCGGCTATTGATGACGGCAGGTGAGGACAATTTGATCAGCAAGATGTCGTTGTCCAGGGTCCAGCTGCTGTACTTGGGGTGGCGGATGATCTTGGCCGCATTGATGAACTGCTCACCTCCCTCAGTGACCTCAATGTCATGCTCTCCCAGTCTTACCTGGATGCGGCTGGGAGGAAGAAGAGGCGTGACGAGTTTTGTAGGCCAGAGCACTTCAGGGTTCTCATGTTCCCTGCTCATGGGTGGCTCTGGAGGCACGGAGTGACCTGGGAGGCAATGTCACAGTGCTTGTGCATGGGTGGGAGGGGACGCAGGTGAGTGGACACAGTCCCTTTTGCTTCAGAGGTACGTGGTGGTAGAGGGACATGAGGTAAGAGGCTGCATCTGGGGGTTACCTGTCAGCCGGTTGTCGGCTAGTCCCTCGTGCATGTGGCATCTTGCACTCAGAGGGATTGTATGAGGTCCCCAAAACACCCATTACTCTCTGTCTTTGCTAGGACTGCAGTGACCTGCACTCTGCATGCTGTGTCTGAAAAGCACCTTCATTCTGTACGATCCATACAGGTTGCTTACCAAGTGTGGTTTCAGGACCTGTAGCCTCAGCCTCCCTTGGGAACTTTCCAGCAAATTCTTGGGTCCCACCCCAGACCTACCAAACAGTAGTTTTGGGATGTAACCAAGCGGTCAGCTTTAATGAACCCTCCAAGTGGTTCTGACACACTCTCAGGTCGGAGAATCCCTGCTGGAGTCATGGCACTTGGCTCTGTCTCCAGACTCTCCAGGGTAGAAAGCTTTAAGAACTCACTAAGATTTAACCCCTGTTTCCGAAAATTCTGAGCTAATTGGGTTGCTATAGGACATATTCATCAGCATTTTAAATTGTTTCTTGGCTGGTTTTCTTGGTTGTCCACTGACAAAATGTACTTTGGCCTTAGTATTTTTGTCTGGTTTTGACCCTGGTCCTTATATGCCCAAAGAATCCAGTCCTTGCCTGTATGGCCTGTGGACCCTGCTGCTTTCTGGATTTATTTAGGGTGTGAGGGGCCTCCCTGGTGTGTACTTCTCTTTTCCCTCTCAACTCTTGCAAATCAGTTATTGCTAGCGCCATCTCTTCTCCATCCCGGCTGCCACCTACATTCCCCAGTCCGGACACTCCCCTGAGTGGACTCCAGACTCTCTGAACAAGCCTGGGCTGTGGGCAGGCAGTCAGGGACCCAGTACTTACTACATGTAGCAGTGAGCTGCAGATACCACCCATTCTTCATTGATGAGGGAGCCCCCGCAGAAGTGGTAACCAGCGTTCAGGGACACCTGGTAGGGGACAGAGTTCTCCGCACAGGTGAAACCCCCGACGATTTTGTCATCGTCATCAACGGGGAAAGCGACTGGAGTGGAGAGAGAGAAGGGAGATGCTGCTTCAGCTGCCAGCAGAGCCTCCGCCATGTGGCTGCTGCTTGCTACGCGGGGTTCCTTAAGAGCACAGTGATGACAGGCAAGTGGGGAGCATTCTGTCTCCAGGAGAACCCCAGGACTCAGCTGTCCTCCCTTCCCTGTGTCAGCAGGCACCACAACTAAGCACCATAGAGGCTTTGGGGTGAGGACACCAGAAATGCCCCCAGCACGCCCCAGTCATTTCAGCCACAGAGTGCCTTCCTATCTCAGTTATCTCTGGTCTATTCCCAAGGCTGTTTAAGTCCTGGTTGTCTAGCAGTTTGGCCTGCCTAGAGAATTTCCTGGCTGTCCCCACTGTCCATGGTTCATGTCTGCCCAGGAAGGCCAGATTGGAGGGCAGCCCCCAGGTACCCGGGACAAGGGAGGCCTTGTTATTGCACAAGAGAACAGTGATTCTTCTTCTTCTTCTTTTCACCTCCAAATTCCTGGTTTAATAAGGACTTGTCTATTTTGAGAAAAAAAATAAAGTCCTAACATCAGGCTGTTCACCAAAATAGCCTACAATATTAACTTTAAAAAACCAATATCAAGCCTATTACACCAGGTTTTTTCTAGAGGATGCATTTGATATACCAACTCTCATTCACAAAAACACATCATTACAGTTGTGTTGAACAGTCCCACACATCACTCTTACATGGCGCAAAGCACACACATCTCTAATGCAAAGCTGCTTGCAGGTGCTACTCAACTAAATGAGATGGCCTTTGCAGCTAGGGAAGCAACTACTGAACTAATATATGAGTTGAAAGAACTGTAATTCTTAACTATGGCTACACACCTTGGCACCTTCAGTCAACTTAGAATCCCAATTCACACACTGTACCCCAGACATAAATGAGATCAGATTTTTTAGGGCTAAGTCACTGGAATAATTATTTTTTTTTTCAACAACCCTCCCCTATCTCCCTCTGGTGAATCCAAGTTGGAGAAAACCAACAGCAGAGCTAACCCTAAGCTGTCAGAGTCTTAGACCCAATTCCACAGGCCTTCCCTTTTCAGCTTTTCAACCCCAAACCCTGTTTGGAGAAGTGGCAGTAGTGGGGCTGGATTCTTAGAGAAGCTGAGGCTTCAAGATGGAGGAGACCTAAAGTTGGAAGAGAGAGGGGCTAGCGGGAGAAATAGAATATTAGTGTGCAGGTAACACAGAAGAGGCAATAAGAGGGATGGTTTGTTGGAAAAAGGTTCAGATAGGACTTGAAGCAAGATATGGGACTCACCAGCTGTTCCCACAAGGGCAAGGATCAGTAGTGGATTCATGATGGAAGAAGTACAATACAGCAGATGCTTTTGGGGCCATCTTTATACCTCTCCAGGTAGGGGAGAAGGGTACATGCAGTTCAGGACCACTCCTCCCTGCATAAACACACCTGTAGCTTTTCCCTTCCCAAGGTCTCACCTTAGATCTGCCGTGTTTGGCCACTCTGTGGAGTGGTGACTTACAGGTGATAAGGAAAGTCAATTTCTAGAGATGGAGAGGGAGCACAGGTAATTCCTGGTGAGATGCTGGGGTGGGAGGGAAGCCAAGCACCTGCTTCCGCCACACTCCCCCTACCCTGCAACAGGTGGGATGTTACAGATTTCAGAAAAGAAGGGCCTGTATCCTTGCAATTCTCTGATCTCACAGGAATATATAATTTCCTTTGTGGAAGAGCTGGTATTGTAAGAAGTTTGACTGTTTACAAGCCCAGGGTCCCCATATAGATAAAAGTCTTCTCCATTGCTCATGCTCATGAGCATAAAGATCTTTCTCTCCAATCTACAGCCCTTGGCAGGACAGTTAATCTCAAGGCTTTGACAAACTAGAATCCCAACGTTGAATAAGAAGAGAGATGCAGGGTTCTTAGGACATGGCCTTTCAGCTCAGTTCTCCTTTCCACCAAGGCCACAGAAGACGAGTATTTTAAAAGAGGAGCTTGGTTGATAGACTCTCACCCAACGCATTTAGGAGAAGACAACAGTACTGCAGCCCTCCTTGGTAGCAGTGCATTTGTCTCTCTCAGTGTCTTCGTGGTTACCCTGGCAATCTGCACAAAAGGTAATGGTCCTACGTGCCAGGAACTGAGCCTGAACTGGAATTACAGCACTAGGTTGAGGTCAGATATTAGACACTTTCTGGATAAGTGTAGTCGATTTTCTGATCAGAGTCTCCTGGAGATAGAGAAGATTAGCGCATGGTGAATGGGCCAATGAGTTTAGTAACAAAGAAATAGAATACAACGTGAGAGGACTTGAAATTTTTCAGCTTAGGAGCTGTGTATACACAGTGAGGTTTCCCAGAGAGGATCATATTTGAGAGTATCCACTGCCACTGTCACTTACTGACACATAGCTGAGCCTGAGGGGTATAACATGGAGATGGTATGTGTGCTAGAATCTGATTACACGAGATCATCAGAGGAACCTTCCCAAAGGGCTGCTTCTTCTGAGATCCTCTATGCTCAGGGCTCATAAGGGACAATGGCCTAGTCATGTCCGAATTCTCTGAAAGGTTGAAAAAGGAATGAGCTTTCTGGAGATGATGAACAAAGTGGGAAAAACTCAGACTCTTTGGGTGGAAGGGCAAATGGCAAGTAGGCTGGAGGGGCTGAATCAAAGACCCAAGAGTAAACCAAGCGAAAGGCCAGGTGGAGCTCATGGGGTTGGAAGGGAACACAGATCACACCCTGGCCCCATTTCTGTCCCAGCTGCCAGGCCAGTTCCTTCCCACTAGGAGAACCCCTGCTTGAAGCTCCCACATCTCCACATTGCACCTTTCCCGTGACCAAGCAGAATGGGACATTAATGCATTTGATGTTAGATATGTTTTCTTTCTTTCTTTTAAAGATCTATTTATCTTTATTTGACAGGGCAGATTTACAGAGAGAGAGGAGACAGAGGTGGAAAGATCTTCCATCCACTGGTTTACTCCCCAAGTGGCTGCAACTGCTGGAGCTGAGCGGATCTGAAGCCCAGAGCCTCTTTTGGGTCTCCCATGTGGGTGCAGGAGGCAAGGATTTTGGCTATCCTCTGCTGATTTCCCAGGCCATAAGCAGAGAGCTGGATGGGAACTGGAGCAGCTGGGACATAAACTGGTACCCGTATGGGATGCTGATGCTTGAAGGTGGAGGATTAGCCTATTGAGGCAAAGTGCCAGTCCCATGACATGTTTTTCAAGAGCTTTCAGCCAAACCGTAGTGCTGCGTGCTTTCCTTTGTGTTGAATTCCACCGTTTAGCTTTTCAAAAAGTGCTCAGATTGTGAGATGTGGAGAGTGAAATTTTTCAGTGCATGGAGGAAGGCATTCACACTCCAGTGGATTATGCCTTGCCTGTGAACACAGATCTCAGAATGGCAGGACTGGCCCCAAGTGGCAGGGTCACATGGAAAGGGTTGTGGAGCATGGGATTTGCTGCAGGTGGTGTCCACAAGGTCTCTTAGGGTCCCATACAGAAGTCTCTGAAAGGCAAAGCATACATCCTGTTTCCTTATGGCACTATCTCCCTGGCAGAAACATACTGAATTAATCTTTTCCCTGGAACCTTGCCATGACCTTGGACCTGTCTGTACAATGTCTAACACACAGATGATATAGTTCTCTGTGCTTTCAGGTGGCTGAAAGGTTGTGGAGTGTTTCCTGTTGTCCCATTGAACATGCTGCTTGTGAGGTCTTTGTGAACCCCTGCTTTATGGGATAAGGGGGTACATCTGCATGTACGAGTGAGTCCTGTGGGGAGATAACCTTTGGTAGATGATAAGAATAGCGAGTTTTGGAATGGTGTTTGAGGCTTTGCCTTTCTGTCTAAAAAGGGAACACCTAAAAACACGAGGATTTTCTCAGAGAAGCTTATAAGATTAGCTTTCTGGTATTTTATGTTCCTCCTCAAAATAGGATCATATCCACCACATGGCATAAGGTTAGTTTCCTTCAAAGGAGCAGGACTCCCCACACAAGCTGGGAGAGAGCCATGGGTGGGAAACAGCACCTTGTTCTCCAGGCTCCAACAAAGAGGGTGGGTTTAGACCCATCTGCCCAAATGCAGTCTGAATGTAGGTCTGGCTCTCATTTTTGTTTACACCTAACTATGGATGCCTCTGTCTACTCGAAGGCATTCTCCTTGCTTGTACTGATCATTTAGCATATTAAATTACCATCTTGTAACCACAATAACAGGATCACTTGTATGTGGTTGTTATACCTCAAGCATTGAGTGCATCTCTCATGCATTTCACTTCATTTTACTATCACAGCCTCCTATCAAGATGGTTCATTTTGTAAAGAATCACATGAGCTCTACAAAGACACAGCAACTCCAGGTCACACAGCCAGTACGCAACTGTAAGGATGAATTAAGCATCACAGTCTCCTTTTAGAACCTGTGTGTTCTACAAGCAAGGACTATTCTGCTTTACCTTATTTGAGCTTTAGCGTTGCTTTACTAAAGTGGTAGTAGGCAGAGAGACTAATGCTTCCACTTACGGGTAGACAACCCATAGCTTAAACAGGAAGTGACTTCTCTAAGTCACTGGGCCAAGGAATGCAGGGATGATCACAGAACCTTTTCCTGTTAAAACAAAGCTCATTCTCTTTGTGTTGCTACACAGTAGAGTGTTTCAGATCTCTCAGTAGTTGGAAAAACAGATGTATGTCAGGTTCCATATTGCTGTTATCCTTTCTCTTCACACTTTCCACTTGAGCTTTCTCCCTCCTCACCCCATCAAGCAAGTCTCCTCAGCTTCCTGTCAACTTCTCTTTGGTCCCAGTACTTTTATCACCCACTATCCAGATTGTCAGTTTCTGAGCTGTCATTTCCCTCATACTTTTTCCTTCCTTTCTCTCTTTCTCTCTTGATGTATGTATATATCAAGATATATAAATATATATAATGTGAGAGGAAGGGAGAAAAAGAGAGCGTGAACACTCCCACTCAGTGGTTCATTGCCCAAGTGCCTGAAACAGCTGTGACTGGGCCTGAGACAGAGCCAAGAGCCAGGAACTCAAACCATTACTTGAATCATCAGCATTACCCTGGACGGTGTGTAATGGCAGAGAGCAGGAGTCAGGGAGCAGAACTGGAAATTTAACCCAGGAACTCTGAAATGAGAAGCCAAATTTTAACTCTAGCCTAAATGCCCATGCTAATTTTTATTTTCTAAGGTTGACACTATTTCTCTTTTTCCAATAAGAAGTTGCTACCTTGAATATGGCATCTTGGAAATCACTGCCATCTGTGCACTGAAGCGATGTTCTGTATAATCTAGCTTAACTGAAGAGTGGGGCAACATCTGGATGCCTCACCCAGCTGTGCGTATTCACTCTCACTTCCTAGTGAATCCACAGAAGACACACACATTGCATTTACTTTGTAGGCTTCTTGAGAGATCGAACGGGGATGTCTCTAGTAACTGAGGTTTCAAGTTTATTTAAAGATGGGTGCATTTTTGTAAGGTGCAGGTCTTTCTGTTCACATGTCAACCACTTTCTGTCCAGTCTCTTACTGGGTCTGCTAGAATTGTTTCAATATCTCAAGTTGCAAAGGTGAGCAGAAGTCCTATAGGAAGAACTCCAGAAGGCAATTATTACTGAAACACCTGTCCATAATACAGAGAGCATGATCAATGCACTCACTAATTTTTCTAAACCATATTAGATCCTGACTGACCCTCACAAATCAAGTTCAGAAATAATCTAATCAGTTGATTCGGTTTCCTCCACGCATCTGATTTATAAAATGTCTAGGCAGTGCCATCCATCTGGAAGGCAGCCTAGCGCATCTTCAAACGGTTCCTAATACTCAGAGTGTTCTAGCCACACAGACAGCAATGCTTTTCTCATCCAAGGACTGCCGTCTTTTCCAGATTCTGAACTTTATCTAGAGCCCATTATGTCTTGTGTGTTGTCCGATCTTGAGGAAAGTAGCAGAGGGGACTTGGCATTCAATTCTATGTGTCTTTCTGTTCGAATATAAACATTTATTCTAACATAAAATTCTGCATGTCAGAGCCCTCCCTGTTAGAACGGTCTAGTTAATCTCTTCATGAGCTTAGACAGCCTAAACACACACACACACACACACACACACACACACACACACACACACTGCTCTTGTAGTTTTTTCCAGAAAAATTTACTGCTACTTGAAAATTTTTATCCTTTCTCCTCCATATTGTTCATATACTCAAGAAATGTGTATTGAACTTTATTAATGTTCCAGAACTTCGTCTAGGAAGGCAAAGGAGGACCTTGCTTTCACGATATTTATGTGTGTATGTCTGCACACCTGTGAGTATGTATAAAGATGAAAAACAGAAAAGTAACTACACCTGTCTACATGCATGCTTTATTGAAGACAAGGATGGCGAGATGCTATTAAAATAAGGTAAATTGGGACATGACGTACTCTGACTGCTGAAGTGCAAGGAAGCTTTACTGGAATTTTCTTTGGCAGGATTGCATTTGAGTTAAAGAATAACCACTCGGGAGGAAGATGAGTAAGAAGGAGCCAACTATGGGAGGTGGGGAGAGGAGGGCTTTCAATATTTTCTCCTGAGTCTTAAACAGAAATTTATCAATGCACATGACCAACTACTTTGTAAAATGAAATAAAGCTGTTGTGTAGTAATGGGTATCTATCTTGCCACTGATTTTATTAGTAAAGGCCAATGATTTGAAATAAGGTCATTAACACATTGAAATATTCTTATAAAAATTGATGTAAAAAATCTTTGAGATGATGTTTATAAGACATTTTCAAGGGAATAAATACTAAAACATTTGTTACATGATTTAATTTAAATAAAATGGGTGGTATTGGTTTTCCTCACTGTAGAATCTACATATACTTTATAATAAGACATGCATTTTAACATAATTAAAATAACTAAGACAGACAAACAATTATACTAAAATTTTATCAGACACAGTTATACCTTATCCTGAGAAAGGAGTTGGTAATGCAAAAATGGCACATGTTAAGGAAAAAGTAAGTTTCAATAGTATCTCAATTATACATTTTATGTTTACTCAACATGGTGTCACATGCTTAATCAAGCTACTTACATCTCTTATATTGAACATCCATTCAAAACACTTTATTATTGTGTAATTTTATACATTATAAGCGATGACCTACAGAATTGTGTAATCATATGGTCAAGCTCAAATGTGCTTCAAGGAGACTGCTCTCTGTAATGTAAAAGGGCCCTCTGTGCTTGGGGGAATTTGTTGACCTCTCAGGGAAATTGGAGTTTGGGATGGGAAGATAAACTATCACTTGATCCTTGATATACCATAGACATTCCTAGGGACCCCTGTGGTCCAGGAAATCAAGCTTGTGGAAATTAAAAAAGGTCAACTGGAGCTAGTACACAACCAGGAGCTGGCAAGGAGTCATGCTTTATATGGCCAAGAGGGGATGGGATGAGCTACCATCTACTGATAGGATAAACTAGAAAAATAATCCCAATAGCAGTTAATGAGTAATATTATTTCTTAATATTGGCATTCAAAGGTTAAAATTATTTTCTGAATATTCATGTTCACTTAGTAGTCAGTACAATGAGTTGGATTTGGGGTAGAAGCTTCATGGGGTCATGAAAAACACTGAGAGCTGTGAAATAAAATAGTGTCAAGCTTGATAGAGGCAACCATAAGTATGTTATGGAAAACCTGTTTTTCATTCCAGAATTTGAAGAATTGCCAAGGATGAATTTGTTGCATTTTTACATGATACATGAGGCAACAAGCCACCCACAGTGAGAATCGGCAGAAACCACAAATAAGCGAAAAGATGGAAAGTGGCATCTAGTGTTGGCATTATCGTATAAAAATTCCAAATGAATGTTTAATGTCCTTAGAGAAATAAAATAACAAAATTTCCCAAGGAGAAGCTGCCTTACAAATGGTCACTTATAATTGATTAAAAAAAGGTAGACTTTCTAAAACTAAACTAGTATAATTTAAATAAAGTCAGTTGAAATCTAAATGACTTACTGGAGCTGGGATATGAGTTAGTCAACTGGACAGCTCTGTAGTTCTAATGAAATGACCCAGAATGTGCAGTGGAGAAGCAAAAATAGGATTGAATAGGTAGAGACTAGCTGATCATGTGACAGTAAGTTGGATGCAGCACAGACACGTCCAGCAGGCCAGTTCTCCTACCACAGAATAAAAATGACCAGAGCCATGGACTGAGTTAAACCCACAGAAAACTCCCCTCTCAGGGCCACATGAGTTATACTGTATTTATTACCCCAGAATAACATGAAGACACATCCAGAAAGTAGGTTCATTGCAAACAAGGCAGTTGAGGCTGTGAGTTGAGGGTAAGCTGGGAGAAATAGAAGTAGGTACCACGAGGCTGCGATGTGCTGTGAAGCTGAATTGTGTATTCTCCCAGCCATGCTTGAGTCTGACCTTGATTACACATTTTCTAGTTAATAACGAAGAATGCTGAGCATGTCTGTCTGTGTAGTTTTTCCGTTTTGAATGTCATGACGAGGGATCCAGGAAACAGCCAGGAGCAGCTTTTCAAAGGCAGCATGGTTGTTGGCAGGTATAAATGGGTGTGGTTTTACACCTGAACTCTACACTTCCTGAAGGACAGTTCTCCATGGGGCCTTGGACTAACATGGTTCTCCCCAATTTCAAGTTAATAGTTATCCAGGGTAACTGTAGAATGTACTGAGAATGCAACATCTTGAGATAAAGAAAGCTGGCCAGAACAGCTTGGATTCTGTTCCAGGCTCCTGTGAAAACACGATGCTTTTCAATGCTTTAATGCAGCATGTCATGTTTTCCCTGAGATATTAAACTCAACATTAACCATGATTTTTATGGTATAAATGGGGCACACATAGATTCCTTCCACCCTGAACATTTTCCCCCAACCTTGAGTTATCAGATCTACCTGTGTTGTCCTTTCTGTCTATAGAAGCACTGTCTCATCTTCCTAATGAGTAATAATGTGTGTGTGTGTGTGTGTGTGTGTGTGTGTGTGTGTGTGTGTGTGCTGTCCCACAGGACAGAAGTAGCAAGAGTCCTATCAAAGATGCAGTGGACTGAAGTGGTAACTAGGCACTAGGACATGGTGAACTTACTTCACACTTTGTTGAGATTCCAGTGAGTACACAGAGTGCACATATATGTCACAAGCTCTTTAAGAACACTAGGACCTGCTCAATCTACGGCCCAAGCAGCCAGAACAGGTGTGTTCTGCTATAGAACCTTCTCTTTCACTGGCTTTAGCAGCCAATAGGTCAGACTAGACAACAATACACAGCATACCCAGAGTTCAGTGCAGATGTTAATGAGGACTAAGCGGTGGCCCTTACTGAGCAGTGCACCTCTTCCCTGGTGGATGATAAAAGGAATAAAGTGTAGGAGCTTACTTCTCATATTATAGGAGATATTCCAATATTCCCCAGACCTCTGGACCATCCCAAGATCTATTTATGTGGCGGGTTCCTGAACTTCTGTAGATCTTAGATGGTTCTAACATGCATCTGGCCTATTGAGGTATCTAGAATGCTTCATAATTCCTTATTTACTAAGGACAATCAGTATGTCATTAATGCAATAGGCCAGTCTTCAAAATACATTATGAGAAGGGTTTTTATATAGGTAAAAATGATAGAAAACAGGCTAAATACAATCCTAAGATAAGACAGTTAAAGGGTATTTATAATTTTGCTACCTGAAGACAAAATATGTCTAGTTATCACTACTTAATATTTCCAAGCACTCTCATGGAAGAACTCCTTAGCTTCCCAGGAGCCACTCTTCCTGTGTATGGATGGGTAAGACCTACAGATTCTCTCACTCATTCCTACTCATGCCATCCACAGAGTCCCAGCAGCTGTCTCTGCCCAGGAACTGTGGTTTTCTCCCTCTGTGCCACTCTGGCAGGGTCCTGAGTTGCATGTGGGTGGGAGCCAGATAGGAGAGAGCTGGGGTTCTTGCTCAGATCTTTGATCTGTGTCCAGGACTGTGTCTTCAAAGCTGCAGAAGTAGAAGCTGCTGTCTTCAGGGCTCAAGGTGTTCACACCGAGGGTTGAAAATGTCAGGTTGGGACAACTGATGGGAAACTTGTCTTTGGTGAATCCACTCTCATACGTGGCCTCAGAGCCCGCATTTGCAGCTGCAATCAGCATCAAGCTTTGTTCTGGGAGCTGACGGTACCAGAACATCATGGAGGTTGGGCTGTCAGCCTGACACTGGACAATCATGGAGCTTCCACGCTGACAGATGGCTCTGATTGGCTTCTGAGAGACGAGAACACTAAACACAAAGCCTGGTTGTAGAGAGACAGAAAGGGAAAGAGTAGGAGAGGGGGTGAGGAAGAAAAGTCCATCAGGATTGAAAGCATGGAGGTAAGTAGGTCCCCAGGCTAGGGGGATGTCTTAATATCACCTGGGCTCTGAGATGACCTCACAGCAATGTTAGGTTTTTGTTCGTTTGTTATGGATATTGTATTAGGACTCTGTCATCTGAGATTACTCCCATCATCTTCTGCTTAGTAAATTCAGACCCTCTGTAGAGAAGGTTTCCATTTCTCTACTAAGCATTAATGGAATCCCGTGCTCCCCATGGGACAAGATTCCTACCTCCTCCCTGCAGAAGCAGCATGAAAGCCAACATCTTAGGTGATGGCCTTCACACCGTGTGAAGTCACTGAGAAGTCAAGCTTGGGTTTGTCTTTCCTCCTCCTGGCCCTGCCTGCTCTGTTCCCCTCTAGCAGGAGCCTGCCTGTGAGGTGCAGAGTATGAAGCGTTTTAGTCTGGTCCCTTAGCGGAGCTTTCAGTTACTGTGGTTTCCAAGATGACCCAGCATGCACTACCACCTCCCCCGACCCATCTATCTACCACTTTCCACCCCATCCCCATTGTTGAGCACCACATATTTGCCACTCTTTGGGTATACAAGCAGGACTAGTATACATTACTAGCTTTGAAGGACCAATTTTGAGAGAATTTCAGAGGATGAGGGACTTTCGTAGCTGAATTTTAGCTGTTTGTTGGGTCTTGATCAAGGTTGTTCAAACTGAACTCGTTATCACACACACACACACACACACACACACACACACACACTACTTCAGCAATGAGTTTTTATCTCTACTCTTCTTTCCCTTTAGGCCTAGGAATTTAACGTTTCTCCTCCCCTACCTCATGTACCAGTTCACAAACTAAATGCATTGGGTACATGTATTATCTCTCATATTTATTTCCATATCTCAGTCATCACGATAACGACTATGTTGATTCCCTCTGCTCTTATTGAGCATGATATGATCTATAAATAGAGTTTGATCACAATGCTGTGATCCTTCTCTGTTATCCAAGCAATTTATCATGTAACTACCTGAAATAGCGGATACTGGTGTAAGATCTACATTTTGAGCACTTGTTCTATCATTTTCCTACATTATTTCAGTCTGATTGTGAGTTAGACTGTGCAGATTGTTATTGCCAATAAATCTGAAAGAAAGATTAAAATTAATAGGTAAGACCTGATCTCAGTGCATGTTCAAATTGGTATGAACAAAAAATAAGTGACAGAATGTTGATTTTTTTTTATATGATTAGCTTTTACATTTAGGTCTTTGCTCCTTCTCATATTAATTTTTTATGTGGATGACTCGGGATTCTTAGGCCTGTTCATATTTATTTTATTTTTATTTTATAGATATCAAGTTATTCCGGTACCATCTGCTTACAAATAACATTATTTTCTCATTGTATGACTATGAGACCTGTGCCAAAAATGATGATATAAATGTGGGTCTGTTTCTTAGATTCTATTTTTTAAGGTTTATTTATTCATACATGAAAGGCAGAGAGAAGGAGAAATAGGTATCTCTTCTATCTGCTGGTTCACTCCCCAAATGGCCACAGTGTCTGAAACTGGACAAAACTAAAGTTAAGAGTCAGGAGCATCCTCCAGGTCTCTCACGTGAGTGCAGGGGTCCAAGGGCTTGAACCATCTTCCACTGCTTTCTGAGACCACAAGCAGAGAGTTAGAGCTGAAATGTAGCAGCCAGACAGGAACTGGCACCCATATAGCATGTCAACACCTCACGTAGAGGGCCAGCCTATTACACCACAGTGCAGGCCCCTCTTGTATTATTTTTAAAGATTACTTATTTATTTTAGTTATATTTTAGAAGGAAAAGGAGAATCTATCTTTTGTTGATTCACTCCTCTAATGTTTGTAATAGCCAGAAATGGGCCAGGCTAAAGCCAGGAGATCAGAATTTAATCTGGGCTCCCAGGTGGATAT